CGAGTGCCTAAACGAAAGGGGGATAGACGTCGTAAAATCAAATCGCCGTTTGCTCAAAGGCCCGACGTCGTAAAATCTCAGCACCAATTTACGATGGTGCAAGTGACACCGCTATTCAAAGCCACGCCGGCGGTAAACGAGGAATTGCGACTCGTATATAGCGAATCAATCACGCGCACGCCGCAGTCAAAGGCAGTCATATCTTTGCTCGCGCGGGAATCCGTGCTCCTTTCAAACGCACGTTATGTTCCGCATCATCAATGACTGATATTCAAAGCGCGCCTGGGCGTTTAAATCACGCAGAATTGCCTGCTTTCTCCCGTCAACCACGCGAACCGCATCAAGGGATGGTCGCGTCTGTACTGTCGGATCTTATCAAACGTGTGTGAACGATGCGATATGGTCGTGCGAGGAATACTCGGCTTTGACATTTATTGAGCGTGCTTTGCTGCTTCACTGTTAGCCTCCAAGAGTGACCCACCGCCCCTGTTCACCGCATTGAAAGGTGAAAGAACGCCTGCCACGTGGTCATGTATGTACCATTATTTGTCTGTATTTGCGTGACATGCGTAGTACATGTTTGAAATATCGATTGTAGCAACGCGGGGCTATCCCATATGCAGGTATACAGCGCATAGCTTGATGAGAAGCGTGGGGTTCGAGAAAGTGTTGGGAGAACTTGCACCTTGAAGCGCGTGAGATGCAAGGGAATCAACAAACGCAGGACTGGGTAAGCAATCGATCGTTGTGTGCGCCCTAATTCGTTGAAAAGACCAGAACGTGATCACATTTGTCGCCGGTATAGACAGCAATCACTCCTATGCATGCCCAACGGGCCTGTTTGCCAAGGGAGGTCGAATCCATGACTAAATATTTAGGGCCTACTGCTGCTGCTGCTGCTGCTGCTGCTACTACTACTACTACTACTACTACTACTACTACTACTACTAATAATAATAATAATAATAACTGATTTCTGATCAAGATTGCTTTTGAGGATTTTCTTAGCTAGGCTGTAACAGTAAGTTATTTACGAGACCAGAAGTAGTATAGCGGAAGTAAACGTGACTCCGGAAGTCCATACTAGGAAGTTACTTACGTTAGCAGCCACAGTCCCACTAGCCCAGGCACGGTTAGCTTCACAAAAAAGAAAGCTCGGCCGTAATAACGCGACGACAGAGAAGACGCAAGCAACGGCTTACGAATACCATCCGCCTTTTTTTCACGATGCCACCGCGCATGCGTCGTTCCCCTAGCGGCAAAGGGGAGCAACACCTCTTGATGCCGAACGTTTTCGTTCGGGCGATACCGGTTGCCACGGCCTCTGCCAAAACGCTATCAAAAGCGGCAGATGGCGGAAAGGGAAAGAGAAAAAAGGTGTTTTTTTTAATTTACGTACACCATCTCAACGGAAAAAGTCAACGGTGGCCAGAGCCGCAAAATCGCGTCACTGGGCGCTGTTGTTCACGAGCACTTCGACTGCGAGAATGCCAAGCGCATTCCATTTTGCAAAGGAGGGGTGTCCGGCGGAAAGTAGTCATCCTTGCTGTCGGGCACATCCGAAAGCCTACTTCTTCAACAGACGCTCGCTCATTGCTTATCGGATATGACCATACACACGTTATCATTTCTTGTTTTTTTTTCTTTCTTTTTCAGATAAAGTTGCAATATACCGTTTCTTTATCGCAGTTGTCCAAAACAGGCTGCGTCATGGAGCGCTTTCTGACAGCCACCCCTGTTTTAAAAATGCAATGTGCTTGGCCCTCTCCATATCGGCGGTCCCGGAAAAAAAATGCAGCGCCGCGCGTAGCGATCTTGCAGCTTTGGTTGGCAACCGGTCACTATAGTGACAATATTTCCCGTTGATACTGTATTTCCGTGTGTCAGAATGTATGCGTGTACATTTGATTGATTCGTGGGGTTTAACGTCCCAAAACTACCATATGATTATGAGAGACGCCGTAGTGGATTGATTGATTTGTGGGGTTTAACGTCCCAAAACTACCATATGATTATGAGAGACGCCGTAGTGGAGGGCTCCGGAAATTTCGACCACCTGGGGTTCATTAACGTGCACCCAAATCTGAGAACACGGGCCTACAACATTACCGCCTCCATCGGAAATGCAGCCGCCACAGCCGGGATTCGATCCTGCGACCTGCGGGTCAGCAGCTGAGTAGGGAGTTTTAGTGCTGGGTACGCATTCTCTTGGGGCGATGCGGGCTTCGGAGCGCGCGGCGTTGCGTGCCCAACCCATACCCAACCGGAATGCCTTTTTGGCGCCACAGTGGCACGCACGCAAACGCAAGCCGCACGAAGTTCACACGCGCTCGCAGAGCCATAGAGTCTTGTCGCGTAAGTATTATTTAAGTCTTTTTATGATTTAAAATGTTAAATTAAACATAAATAGTGACCAGGACACTTTTTTTATTGTGTACAGTAATCTGGTATACGCAAAAGAGTGAAAAATACAAGCTTACTGTAACGACAGTGTCGACATCTTGTGACACTTCATGCAACCGCAGTCATGAACATGTTAGCTTACGCATATTGTTTTTGAGGTGAAAATGAATAAAAAGGTTACTCATTTGTAATATTGTCGCAGCGCAGTTTTTGCACCAGATGTACAATGCACAATGTTTGTGCAATAACAAAGTTGTGGTTGTCTGTTTCACTATGGCCGCGCTAGATGGCGCCACCTATTCAGCTAGTCGGGGGCTGGCATATGTTCTTTAGTTTCTATGTTTCAGGCCATTCTAGCTTTGGAAATCTGGCTGAAACCGTGTAATCGCTATAAGTGCTCGCACTTTGGCTTATTTTAACTCGACAGCTAGAGTATACGCAGTGCGGATACCGTGAGTTCTTGCGAAGGTGGACCGCACGGACGCATGGCCCCATCGCCCCAGTGATCTTGCGACGCATCTGTTTGGGGTTTCGCGCATGCGCAATACCGCCGCCCCAACGTCCTGCGTACGCAAGCCGCTTGGGTACCCAGCACTAAAACTCCCTAGTATCTTAGCCACTAGACCACGTGGGCGGGGCGTGTGCGTGTATATATACACATTCTAAATGTGAAGACTTAAGACGAAGGAAGAGGGGGGAGGGGGGTGCCAGCTAGAAGTGCGAACGCTTGAACCAGCCCCCACCCGTCTTGGCTACGTCAATGTCTTCGCTGCATTATATAGCTCTAATACTTCGACTGAGTGTAAACCTCAAGTTGGCGAACGTGTACGAAAAAAGGCTTCTTAAAAAGACCATACTCTGTTCCCTGAAAATGTCACCAGAATAAAAGTTCGAAGCGCGCATTCACAAGGGGCAACGACTTGTTGTGCACGCGGGTAGGGCTTAGCTACTTTCACCGAGAAAACAACAAAAAAATGAAACAAACAAAAACATTATGAAAACTTGACAGAGGTGTAATAAAAACGGAAACTCACAGAAGGTTCGAAATGTTTCATGAACTATTTCTACCTTCGCTTTGAAACCAAACTTAAGTGGGAAGTACACAATCTTTCTTTGAGTTACGTTAAGAGTGAACACCAGCCTTACAGGCATGATACTTACCTTATAGGTGAATGAAAAAAAATTATGACAGAAATAAAGAGCCGAGTGCTAGCAATTTAAAGGCTTAATGAATCTTCCCTCCACGTGTTAAATGTATACTTTCGTAAGGAATACTTTCGTAAGTATACTTTCGTAAGTATACTTCGTAAGGAATAGGGACGGCATGTTGCTCTCCCATGGTTGAGTACTAAGTACTCAAAATCGCTAAATATTTTTTCTAAACACAATTGGTTGAAAGTTACTTACCGAGCTCCCCCGCCCCCCCCCCCCACCCCCCAAGAAAAATCAATTAAAGTGATACAATAATCACTCACAAGAAAAATAAAGAGAGGGGAAAACGTCACAAGTTAACCTGGTGGCACCTCGTCGAACGGAGGCAAGATGTGGCCGCTATGCCCTCTGTCTCAGTGCCGACAATACCTGCTAACAAATAGTATTGTCACAAGCATATCCAACCAAGAAAAACCGATAAAAAGATCAGACCTTGTTTATTTACAGCACTTAAAACACACACACACACACAAAATCGCTTGTAATGTTGCTTATTCATACAAATCCGACTAGATTAGCTTGGAGATTCTTGTTTGACACCAGCGAGGGGCAGGGTTGTTGCTCGAAGTCACGATATGCTTGAAGACTGGTGACTTGGGGCAGCGTTAGGTGCCACTTCGTTGCTTTCCGCCTTGGTCGCTTCGTGCAAAGGTAGCCACATATGCTTGTTTTTCTTGAATAACACACGTTCGTCTCGGTGGACAGCGTATAGGCCGTGCTTGGGCAGTGTCGCATGGAGCATCGGATGTGCCCCCAAAAGTCACACACTGTGCCTTTAAGGGGCTTATGAACGGAACTAGCCGTGTTCGATTATCGATTCCGTAATTTCAACAGTCCTTTGTCTATCGTTTTTTTTTTTGAAAAGAACCTGCCTGTGGGGCAATTTAAAGTCGGCTCTTTATGCACACACGTCCAAGGTTCGATAACGCACTGGAACATGCGATAACGATGCACAAACGCAAGGGGGAAGAACTCCTCCTTCTTTGCTTGTTTTCTTTTCTTTTTTGGCACATGAGATCAAATGACATCAGTGCAGCCAAGTCGACCCGCCGAAGAAATGTATGTACATAAGTGTCGATTGTTAACGTGTTTTTTTTTTTAACGCGCCGTCTCCCGCATACAAAACAGGCCAGCGCCGAGGTTCGGCTATCATTTTGTATCATAATCAGGTGTCACGCCCTAACTTCACTACCGCAAATCAACTTCTCTACGGCAAACCACTGTGGCACCTCCCACGCAAATCGCCCCCCGTTGTTCCCTGTGTCGATAGGTCTCGATGCGCGGTCGCACCACTCAGCAGATGCACTGGCATTGCGCGGCCACGCTGTGTTCCCTCCAACAACTGACGACCCTGTACATTTAGCTCGCCAGCGTAAGTAATGATCTGGGTTTCATGTGCTATAGACATACTCTTAGGCGTACGTTTACACGTACTCCCGGTTGTTTTTTCTGTTTTGAAAGACTGCAAGACGTTACCGCACGCTAAAATGCCTCTAGCTAGCCACTGCCCCAGTATCACCTAATCCTGTCTGGCAGGGTGACGTAATCCTTGTCCGCGTACTCCTGGTCTTCGGCGTCGTCGGAGCCCGCGCCCGTGCTAATCGTCTGAACTACGCCAACGGGTCGCGACGTGTCTTCCTCGTAGATGAACGCGGCGTCGTATACGGGCGACGGGCGGGCCGCTCGCAACGACGCCAGCGGGCGGGCATTCTGAAGTCGCGCCGGCTCGACGTCCTGCAGGAGCCACAGGGCACGACCTTTGGACGAGGACGTCTTGGGCGGCTCGGGTTGGCACACGTGGTTCTGGCAGTAGAAGTCCCGGCCCCCGTCGCTGTGGCACCAGGTGCCGTCGGGAAAGAAGGATCCTCCGAGGTCGTTCAGCTCGGTGCGCGGAGTGTACCAGGGTCCGTTGGTGATCTTGCAGTAGACTGCACAAGCCTGCCAAGGTCGGGCTGCTCCGTCGAAACGAAGAGATAAGAAAAGTGGTACGGCAATCAAACACGTTATCTGGAACTGCCATAATGCTTGATATTGAACATCATCATGATATTCAACGTTATTCAACGTTATTACAGCGTTTTTCTTTCCTTTTCGTTTTCTTTTTCAGCTTGTATGTGCTGTACTTATCGTATACTTATGTATTCATTACTTTCTTGGCTTGAACGGTGAAACTAATTGTGTTTATTGTTTTGTATTTATTATGTATTTATTTATACTTTAATCGCACGACATATGAAGTATGAATTTGTGGTGTTTTTTTTTCTTTTTTGTCCGGTACATGCGTTAATATGAAATAATTTGCTATGTCGCTCCTTGTGTTCACTATTAGTGTATAAAACTCTCACCCCAAACAATCTTTATGCCATTTATTGTTTCGACTATGTCCCCATGTAACTGCCCACCTGCTTGGACCTAAAGGTCTGCAGTATGTAATAATAAATATAATAATATCGACAGCCCGAACTTGCATGGCTGGTATTACCGAGGTTAGATATCGCCAAACTGTTGTCAACGTTCCCAGTGGTCGGTTGACACAGTAATATCATTTTTGCAGATGAGTTTTGCGGAGTATCGAAAAGTGGCGGAAGGGTTATGAAAGGAATAACCGACAACCATCCGACAAAGCCACAAGGAAAGCAACACAGTTTAAAAAAAAAACGAAGTATTTAAGCGAAGAAAATTCGTCCTGCTCAGGGGATCGAACCCGGCACCAACGCCTTTCCGGGGCGGTCGCTATACAACTAGAGCAAACCAGTATGTTGGCGTAGCCATTTGCTGGCATCCTGGTTATCCTAACTGATTGCGCGAAAAAATTGAAAAAAAGAAATGTGCGCTGTGTCTCGGTGTCTTCCTTTTGTACTTTAATTTTTTTCGCACACTCAGTTAAGATGAATTACCAAGTGTCCATGCTTCTCAAGTACATCCTGGCAAGCTGAATTTGTAGAGTGACCATGCCGCAAAGGCGTTGGTCCTGAGTTCGATCCCCGGACAAGGATAGTTTTCTTCAAATATATAACTTTCTTTCTGAAAAATGCATATGTATTTCCTCGTGGCTTTCTGATACAAGCGGGTGGTTTTCGATAATCTCTTTCACGTCAATTCAGTGCTCTGTAAACACTCGAAATTCACGGTCATTTATGCCTCCACGTTACACAATTTCCACCTCTGGTACGCCATAGTTGTCTGACCTAAAAAAATTCTTATTATAAACATTCAATTCAAATAATGCACATTCCTCTCGGTCTGAACTGCGAGCGTTGCTTCGTTTGCAACAACTTGAAGTACATTAAATTTTTACCGCTATCGATACGATATATTTTTTGGGGTGCTTTACGCGACATAAAAAGTCTGCGCACAAATAATATGCCTGCTGCTCCCTATATAGCTCTCAGAGAGGTCAAAACGGGTCCAAAATTTTCCAACGCGACAAATACGTTGCACATTTATTATACGTGGGCTTGGGCGTGCTGGTATTCCATAATTAACACACAGCGCTCAGAAAGACCAGGAACACAGTGGTGCCATACAGACACAGCGAAGCGGACACAGTGTTGTGTACGCTGATTGATTGATTGATTGATTTGTGGGGTTTTAACGTCCCAAAACCACCATTTGATTATGAGAGACGCCGTAGTGGAGGGCTCCGGAAATTTTGACCACCTGGGGTTCTTTAACGTGCACCCAAATCTGAGTACACGGGCCTCCAACATTTCCGCCTCCACCGGGAATGCAGCCGCCGCAGCCGGGAATCGAACCCGCGACTTGCGGGTCAGCAGAGTGCTGTGTACGCATCGTATACGAATGTTTTCTTGTTCTTTTTGTGAGCTAAAGGTGTTAAGATATGTTATACAACTTGAAAATCACCAGGACATTCTGATACGACGTTTCGAAGCACCACAGAGTAATGTCACTGTATATGAAGTTCTGAAGTCAACTCGTGGAACGTAGGTATATCATGTGGATTAAATATTTAAGAATAATATAACGCAACAGTCAAGTCAACAAAGTCAAGAATAACACAGTTCTCTATGAAATTACAATTACAAAACAACCAAATAAGACAGTACACCTGCTCCATTACGCTCGCCTTGCCTATTCGGGTAGCCTCTGGCCGCGCTTGAAAAAAAAAAAGAGCTACAACACGTCCTCTATGCTTGCGCCTAAGGCTAGAGTGAGGTCGCGCTTACCGGGGTTGTGCCTGACTTGGGCTCCTTTAGAAGACAAGTCTCGGACCAGTGACTTCCATTCGGCGCACTTGCGCGTAGCGTAGTCCACGGGGTTCTCCCGGCGCTGGCAGATCTGTGCAGAATATTGTACCGAATGCATCATGCACGAGAGAAAAAAAAATTATAATGACAAGTGGCTTTGATAAGAAATCAGACTGCAATATCAGAAAACGTTGGCCGCACGCTCCATTAAAACAGCGAAATTTCTGTACGTAAGCTATGCCTTCAACAGCGTAGAACTCTCGCGAACATTCCTGAAAATGTTCTTAGGGAACACTGGACAAGATAAGCGCTTGTGATGAACAGATTTTTTGTTGCTGTATACGAAACGATTTGTTAGTTCGCAAAATGTCGACAAAACTAGAAATGTGCGCGTGTAAACGTTTTATTGCAATGCGAAGTCCCGTAAGCGAACTGCACATTACCGTGTATACTATTTCTTTGATGCCAAGCAATTTAGTGCCGGCACCTACCAAGACTTCTTTGTTATTATCTCCATCACTGTCGCTATTATCTCCGTCAATGTCAGTAAAATGTACACAAACATATGACAAAAAAAAACAGGAGAACGTTTGTTGATTTGGAGAACCTAGGAATGCGATCCACGACTGCTCAGTTCGAGAACAAAGGTACCCGGATCTCTAACAGACTGCGCACCCGACACAAATGCACGGCAAATTTACAAAGCGCGCCTTACTTCCCTCGCACTTCCATATCACAGTAATCTTCGTTGGCGCGGTGGTGTCGCCGTTTAGAAGCAGTGAAGACAAGCACTGCATCACAACATCAAAGAGCACCGACAAGGAGCGATTCGGTACTTTTAGTGTGACGGTTCATGGCCTTCGATGCATTATTGTAGGTATGCTATATGGTAGATGCAATGGGCCCAACACGATGGTTAGGTTTGGTGAAGGACACAGTTTGGTCCGCCTTTCGCGTCGTGTTAGCAATTTTTTATTGTTCGACAACGCGCAGGGGAAATCTTCCAGTGGCTATATATATTGGCAGCGAACGGTTGGCAGCGCGAGCAGTCAGTTTTTTAATCGCCAGCAGGCGCCGCCTATGTCAGCATTGCGAGGCGAGAGGGGAAGAGGAGAGAAAAGAGAGAGGGAAAAGGATGCACACACTTAAGTGTGGAGTAAGCGCCGCTTGGAAGGATGCCAAGAGGAGAGGTGGGAGCGAGCCAAGCAGATACTGCCTGCGTCGGCGTTGCGGGAAGAGAGGGGCAGGAGCGTAGGAGAGGAGAAAGGGGTAGAGACACGCATGTGTCGTAGGGGTATAGTCACGCCGCACACCGGATTGAGCTCGACCATAACACGCTTGGCATCTAAAAAAGTGAGACGACAGACGATATTGCTGTAGATTTCCTCTATGGACGGGCCTGAGCGCCGCCATGTTGGGCTGTTACCCTTTGTGCTTTGCACCTTTGACAACTAAGCAACGAGCGTAACACTAGCCTCATGCGTAAGAAAATGATTGGGCTGGTGCATGCGACGTTTCATGGCATTAATATTTGACGTTGCAATATACGGAAACAAGAAAACATTGGCTTTACAGCCAAATATGGCGGCACCCAGATGCCTTACAGAACATCGAACGGAACATAACGCAAGTGGTTTGAACCACGACAACATGTGCCCGCGACGAGAAGTTGTTACGTCGTACGTCGAGCTGCGAAACTGACGCAACGAACAGCCAGCAGTCGCTCACGCTGAGAAAGCGAATGAACGCGCGTTCTTTTTTTTTTCCTCTCCTTCGTATACATTTATCGCCTTCAATTTAAGGGTTGACAGGAGCTCACTCGTGCGTGAACAGGGGCACGAGATTAAAGCAAGCTACGCGATCACTGAACGACTAGCAGCTTCTGTACCCACGTTTCAGTATCGATCCACGTGCAGCGCCACGACAGTTGCGACAGTTGATTTGCCCCGACAGTTGTCGACGGCCACGACAGTTAAAGATTTGCGTGACTGTGGGATCATGGCTTGTGTTTGCATTTGGTAGTCGCTTTTGTTGATTGGCTTTGACGTGGAGCGCCGCACGTTGAAATCAGCCGATGAAGCTGTCAGCAACACTCCTGAGTTCATATACATTGAGAGAATGAAGCTTTTATTTAAAAAGGAAAAGAGAAAGGGGGATTTTAGAACTTCTATGGCCATGGGTTCATATGTCCAGGCCTCCCCTGACCTTAGCCGCCTGCCGGACTTGACCCTGGAGCGCGAGCCGCGCTCCGGGGTCCGAGCTGGCGGGTTGTGCATCCCACTGCTCCGTGCCAGGTGTTAAAGGTTCGCCGAGAAAATTGGCTAAGTCGCTTGGCTTACGATCGCGACCACACGATTTGTGATAGAGAGTAGGTCTACCGCCACACCACGGACACACGAACTTTCGTATACATTAGAGCGAAGCCTGTTATCTGTTACAGGTTTCGACGGCGGCGTTGTCGTGCAAGAAAAGCACGGCGGTTCGAGCATATACAAATGCCGCTCTCCAAGCAGCGCCGGTCACATGTGCATTTATTTGTACGCGTCGTTTTCCATTACTTGACGCCCTCTGGACCGTGGGTTTGTCGGTAATCAGCCGTCTCTTATATGTCAAGATGGGCAACTTGTCGTTTCACGTCACCGCAATTCACTGTTGCCTAAATATGAAAGCATCGTGTCACGTTCCGGCATCGGCACCGGAACGTGAGTCATTAAAAACGATGCGAACTGTGTAGGCGCGCCCTCACGGATACGCGACGCTCGAGATAAATTAGAGCCATTTAACTTGCGCCTGAAAAAGACAGAAAAAAGTAAGGAAAACAAAGTGTGAAATAAATAAATAAATAAATACGTTAGGCCCGCACGTTCCAAGCTTCGCTTGCCCCCATTTTCCCGAGAGGGAAAGAGCGCCTTCATTTCACGCAGAAATATGAAGCCCTCTGTAGGGCAACGCGCTAAATACGAGATGTAGCATTGGACACAGCAGGAAAATTTTTACTTAGCGCAAGTGTAAAAAATGTGTGAAGAAAAAAAATCACAGCATATTTACGGAGTGAATGATGGTGAGTGGGCGAAGCTCCGGAGAGAGCGAGTGCTTCCAGCGCTGCACCTCTAGTGGGTGCACCTAGCACTAGCGGTCACGCCAGAGGGACATAGAGTTTCCTAAAACTAACTAGAGGGGACTCTGGCGCTGCGATAGTGCAGCGACTGTGGGAATGATAGGTAGTACACGGATTTACCCAGTTATCGTACTTGCGGGTAGCGAATCGTACTTGTGGCTTCGTTTATTGTTGTGTTTCGGTTTTCTTTTGAAGGGAGGAACGAACCCTTTTGAAGTTCCTAACGCGATTTGAAGTGGTAAGCCTAGAAGGTTAAGGTAGTGAATTGTAATTGCTGAATGAATGAATGAATGAATGAATGAATGAATGAACTCTATTTCCGTATCCGGCATGTTTGTTGTCCGGACTAGACCGCGCGGGGAAGTACCAGGAAACCTCGTCTCCGTACAGCCTCCATGGCCTGTCGAATAGCCCATTTTCGGTCTCGTATTTCCGAGCTGAGGAGCACTGGCTGGCACCGCTCCCGGAGGGCCTATGGAGAACATGTCGATAATTTGGGCCATTCCCATAATATATGTTTATAATACGCTTTTTGTGTTACGCATAATTTGCATCTATTGTCCGGGTATAAGTGTGGGTAGCACCTGTGGAGGTGCACAGGGTTCGGTTAGGAGTTCGTCTGTAGCTATCGGTATTACGATGCTTCTAATCTGTTTAGACTCGGTTGAGGTGCGGGAAAGACGCACCTTGCTTATATGTTGCATGTATTCAGAGTAGGTTGTAAATTGTTCTTTGTTTGGTACGTCGGCGGCGTCATGGATGATCAAAGAGCCGTGAGGTCGGGTTGCGCGGCGGGTTAATTATTGCAGAAACTCATGAGCTAGCGCATTCGGATTAGATGTATCAGTATCTGTGTGCGCCGGGAACCATCCGAGGTACTTGGGTTCATCTACATTGCCCAGTTCTTGGCTATTTCTACATTGTGCAGTTCTTGGCTATTTCTACAGTGTGTAGTTCTTGGCTATTCAATTGCTGAACATCTCCTGATGTTTGTTTCGTAACAAAGCAGCTCAAACTCACTCGAAGCGAACCGGAGCCGAAAATGTTAAAATTAGACGAATACGTTTACTAACCATAATTCCTATGCTCGCCGAAGAGCTAAGCGTAGCAATTCCCATGGCCAATAGCGCCAGAGTTCCCTCTATAGCGCATTTATAAAGAAAAAAAATCCATGCGGGGGGCCAAGCGCGTAAGTTGCTTCGCATCTAAAACATTTATTAAACGAGAGAGATGTACTCACGCAGAAGCCCTACATACTGATTGGAGACCCTGGCCCACTTGCTAAATTCTGTACGTGTGAGTGATTAAGACCTTAGATGCCTCATAACACACGTAAATCAACTATCGGCGTGCCGCCGAGTCGGACGCAACGCGTGTATCGCAAAAAAAAAAAAATCATCGTCTGATGATGGCGTGAAAGGTCACCGAAATTTGTGACGTCATTACGACGTCATGACGGGACGTAGTGGCTTGGTCAGAGGCCGTGTAGCGGAATGTGCGCCTCCATTACATTCCAATTCCATTCCGGAGAATCAGGAATTGCCTCAATCGCATTCCTTTTAATTACTCGGAATGAAAGAAAAGTTAGCCCATTCCCACTCCAGCAATGTTCGCGCAGTTCAATTCAATGCAATGGTTCCGTGCGGCGTTCTTGCCAGCGTTGCGCCGTTTTGGGTACGGCCCGCAAGAACGCCAGGGTCTCGGTTGAGCACTTTGTCCATGAACGCACGTCCGCCACTATACCCCTCCACTTAGTGCATTTTCTGTAGACAAAGAGCTAATCTAGACCATATCATGTGGGGGTGTACTCGAAACCCACCACCCGATTCTCTACACATTAAGTAAGGAGCAGTGGGAGGCTGCTATGTGCAGCTCGGCGCCCGAGGTCCAGGACCAGATCTTCTTGGATTGGGCCAAGAGAGTATAGTGGAGACCTACGCTGGGTAGGCTCCTCTGACACACCACCACCACAC